AGTTGGTCGCTTGATTTATGACAATTTCAAACCTGATGATCCTTACAGCCAGGAGGTGTTGATGGCTGTAGTAAGTGGTCTGCACTGGTGGAAGTGATAGAATAAACCGGAGGTCCGGTGTATAGAGGTCCTAAGATTTCTCTCCGCATTTCATCTTCATCCCAGAGCAAACCACGACGGTTTTGGCGGGCGAGAGATTCTGCTTGGCTCACCACGTCTCTTCCGATTCCACATTCTTGGTGCGACGTTAAAAATCCAAGAAGAATACTGCGTAGTTTGTCCCATAATGTCCCAGATCGTTTCCACTCCAGTTTCTTGGCTACACGCAACATTCGTGATACAAACCAACTTCTCTCTCCTTTATCTGAAGGTCCGGTTGACATATATCCCCCATGTCCCAAGAATATCCACAGCAGCGATGAGATGCTAGGGGTTGAATGTGGATTGATCTTTTTGAGCTCCAATGTGACCCACTCGAGGTAATGGTCAAAATTGTACGAGGCTAGATAATGGTCATACAATGCGATGTTGAGATACAGTAGACAGGCCATGCAAGAATACTCGTCGATATAGCGAACGTCACGAATTCCGTGGTCATAATCAGGGAGCGTGGTAAGAATAGAATATAGAGGTGTTGATGGGCCAAAAAGATTAAGCCTTGGTGGTTGAAAGTCTTGACCCTGACGAAAACTTTGAGGGCTAGGAATGGCGTTGGTAATAAGTGAGTATTGCAACGCATCGAGAGAGCGGAAGAAAGTCAGGAAATCTTCACATGCTCGCAATACACTCGATATTTCCTCTGGGTCTGTGTCCATAGAATGATCGAATGAACTCAGAGGAATACGAAGTTCAGGGGACAAATAGGGAAGAGTCGATGGTACTGTGTCTGGAATATTGCCAGTCCATGGAAGATTAGCCCCCACGATAGCCCTTGGAGCGCTACTGAAATCAACCCTATGAAGATTATTCAGCAATTTCAACGACGGATGAACTTGAGAGAAAAGATGACTGCTAGTCAAGTACATACCAATACAAGACACTTTCCAGAAATGGGCTGCTGGCCTTGACACCACTCATACCACCTCGTCGTCGCACTATTTGCCTGATTCCTTGATTATGCATGCGTTCAACAGTTAGGTCCTTGGACCATTTCTGTAATAGATCAGCGGCGCACAATAAAATCGCCTGGAATAAAACAGAGACGCAATACTGACTTCGATCACGGCCATAGTTGCAGCCGCGTAAATTGTACCATCATGCTTCCCACATACGTCGTGCTGAAGGCGCTCGTTTAATAGCCTCAAAGCTCGCATTTTGTGGGTGAGTGATTGAACCGACTCATTCTGGCCCGCCGCACCCGCTAGGTGTTTGAGGAAATGGCGAGCATCGCCTGCAAAGGGACTGGATCCTGCAAGGTTAAGTGATGGAATATGGCCTTGATTGGATTGGTCTTGGTAACGCATCACCCATTTTATACATCATCACGGGGGTATGTGGTGGACAACTAGCATAAATGTGA